TCATCTTTTGCCATGTAGGTGTCACCAAATAGGTCAACTCAAGCCAGGTCCTAAGGAAACTGAGAACAATGGCATGAAAGGTGCGTGTGACAGATACCAGTCAAACTGCTTCATCTAGAGATTTAGGTAATTACTCCCTAAACTTTCTCCCTGAAATATTCTCTCCTCTGACAGTGCTTCTGCAGCCTAGCAAGGGATCTGAGGGAAGGTGGAAAGGGCCGGAAATTCCTTCCATGGCATGGCCCTCTGCTCCCCAGCACTACTCAGCTTTCTCCACACTCCTGTTGAACCCCCTTTCCTGAGCTTCAGTCAGGTGCCACCACGCCCTGTGACTGCCTCCAACACAGTAAGGCCATGGGGATGACAGCACATTAGACAGCCCCATCTTTGACTTCCCTAGTCCTCAGCCAGCCATGTTTGTCAGCACCCTGCATATTGTGGCCTGTTGAGCTCCAGGTGCCCTTCCATACACAGATGCTGACTTATGATGGGGTTATATCTTGATAAGTCTATCATAAATTGAAAATATAATAGATTAAAATGCATTGATAAAACCTACCTCCAAACCATCCTAGCTCAGCAACACAGCGCACTGTAGAGTGTCAGCTGATTCCTCTTGTGATCATGGGGTTGGCTGGGACTTGCGGCTCTTTGCCATTGTCCAGCATCACGAGAGGATTTTGCCACATACTGTAATCCTGGGAAATGATTCACATTCAAAATTCAAAGTAATATTTCTACTGAATGCATATGGCTATTTCATCATATAAAGTCATAATTCATAAGTCTAATGCAGTTAAGAACTAAGTGCCTCTTGACTCTCACGCTCTCCTCCCACACCTCAGCCCTCAGCACCTGCCTCACTCACGATTTTCCCAGCAGGGTTAGACAATGTGTTGACTGAATGATTCTCAAATCTCCATCCCCAGGCCAGAGCTCTAGACCCACCTTCACACCTGCCTAAGGGTTCCAGATATAGAGGACCCACAGGCAGCTCAGATTCCCCCTCAAATTGAACCTAGCCATGCAAAAACTGCTCCCCTCCAATGCTCCCATTCGCAACAAATTCTCTGACTCCCCAGCTAACCCCATCAGAAATCTGTTCACAAGCTTGACTTTCCCCCCACCACCCCTTCACCTCACATTAATCATTAAGGTCTCTTAAGTCTGCTTACTTCTTCTTGTCCCCTCTGCCACAGTGCTAAGCAAAGATATGATCACCAACTCCACCTGAATTGCTGCAGAATTCTCCCACTGGGTTCCATTCCAATCCTTCCAGTACCCCACCCAGTGTGACCTTTCTAAAGTGCAACATGTCACCTTGGGCAGTCTCCAGCTTCACCCTATTTGGTGACCTCCTATTGCCCTTAGAATAAAAGCATACCCTGAAAGGCCCTTGTAACATCATCCATGCTCATTTCTATACACTCCCCACCCTAAAGCTCTAAGCTCTAGAAATTATTTAACATGAAGATACCTTGCTTCCTTGTTCCTTTGATCCTTTGATAAAGTTTGAATGTGGTGTGTCCCCTAACCCTCACCTCCACCCCCAACTCATGCAGGAGTTTGATCTCCAAACTATTATGTATAATATTAAAAAGGTGGAAACTTTATCTTACTATAGTGTTTAGAGGCAGGGCCTTTGGGAAGTGATCAGATTAGTTTAGGGTCCTTAAGATGGAGTCCCCACAATCAAATTTCAGAGAGGTAGAGAGACCACACAGGAAATACACATATACTTCCCCTATGGTATGTTACACCTGAGTGGACCCTTGCAAGGGCCTGTCCAGTGTTGTTTGGACTTCCAGCCTCCAGAGCTGTAAGCTAAGCAAACCTCTTTATAAGTAACCTAACTTAGGTAGTTTACAATAAAAACACAAGCTGACTAATACAGCCTTCACCTGCTTCTCTGTCTGAATGTGCCAGTCCCTTCCCATGATATTATCTAGATTTCTATTCTAATACAGTAATGCACAGTTTAATACATGAATATAAAGCAAACATCCTTGTATCTGGCACCCAAGACAGTATATTATAAAAACTTGCCAGCTTAAAAAGAAGCCCTCATTTGCTCTGTCCTCTAACTTTTTAGAAGTGGCCACTGTCTTGACACTTAAGATAATCACTTCCTTTTTTAAAGTTCTTTTTTGTTTACTTTTTTATTATTGTTTTACTCTTTTTTTTTCTTTTGTGTAGTGCTGGAGGTTAAACCTGGGGTCTCCTGCATACTAGGCAAGTGCTATACCACTGAGCTACATCCTCTGCTCCCTTCTTTAGACTTCTTCAAAGTCTAATCACCTAAGTGAACATTCCTGTGCATGTCTTTTCTTTAATATGTCCTTTTAGGTGGTTTTAAAAATATATTCACTCCTCTTTATTTTTTTTTCAAATGTCTTGTCATTTATTTGAAGTAAGTTTATTATTGTCCTGTAGACTTTCATGTAGTTTACATTTTTAATTGATTTATTTTAATTGGTGCATTATAATTATACATAAAAGTAAAATTCATTTTGATACATTCATATGTGCACATGACATAGTTGGGTTAATTTTATTCTGTTGTTACTCCCCTTTCCTAATTTCCCTTCCTCTATTCCACTGTACTCCCTTCTATTTTCATGAGATTCTCCCTTCTTTAGTTGCTTATTTCTCTCTAGATTTTGCATGTAAGAGAAAATTTTTGATCCTTGACTTTCTGAGTCTGGCTTATTTCCCTCAGCTAGAGGTTCTCCAGTTCTGTCCATTTACCAGCAAATGGTATAATTCATTTTCATTTATGGTTAAGTAAAATTCAATTGTATTTATGTATGTGTGTGTGAATAGACAGATGGATGGATGGATGGATAGATAGATAGATAGATAGATAGATAGATAGATAGATCACATTTTCTTTATCCATTCATCTATTGACAGGTACCTGGACTGGTTCCATAACTTGGCTTGTAAATTGTGCTGCTATAAACATTTGTGTGGATATATTTCTATAATATGCTGATCTTAATTATTTTGGATAAAAGTCAAATAGTAGAGCAGCTTGGTCATAGAGTGAGTCTGTTCCCAGCCTTTTGAGGATTCTCCATACTGATTTCCAAAGTGGATGTACTCATTCACAGTCCCGCCTACAATATATGACTATACCTTTTTCCTCACAACCTCAACAGCATGTATTATTATTTATATTTTTGATGATTATCATTCTAATTGGACTGTAGTTTTGATTTGCATTTCCATGAATGCTAAGGATATTGAACATTTTTTTTTCATATAGTTTTTGGCCATTTGCATTTCTTCATTTGAAAAAAATGTCTTTTAATTAATTGTTTAAATTAATTTTTAATTAATTTTTGTCTATTGATTGGGTTGTTCGATTTTGGGTTTTGGTGTTTTTTGAGTTCTATCTATATTCTGCATAATAAACTCCTATTTGAAGAATAGCTAGAAAGATTTTCTTCTCTCTTTTTGTTCTTAATTGTTTCTTTTGCTGTGCAGAAGTTTTTTTAATTTGACGCAATTCCATTTATTGATTGTTGGTCTTATATATTGATCTACATTTTCATTTCATTGTTGTGATATATTTTAACATAAATTGCCTTTAAACCAATATTTGCTTACTGATTTGGGTTCAATGTATGTGGTAGGACCACTTCATAGGTAATGTGTTTTCTACTGAGAGACATAAACTGTCCAATTGTCTTTCATTTCATGATGTAAACCATGCTATGGGGTTTGACTCTGTGAGAGGCAAAGGCAATTTGAAAGCTAGGTTTGGCCAAGCTGGGCTGCCAGTTCCCTCACCCATTCTATGGAATCACTGAACCAGCTTCTTTTATTCAATTTCCAACAATCGTTTGCTGTTACATTTTCTGTAAGGACCCTTTAATCTCTAAAGTTCTGTCACTCATATTATGCAAGAACTAAGAACTAATTTATACAGGCATTTAGCCTAACACATGACGAATTAAAGTGTTTGATAAGTGCTGGGTTTGACCATTATCATTTCACTCATAGTGGTATTAATAAATATCTTCTGAAATCCCAAGAGTAACATGGCCCACTACTTCTGTCTTCCTCCTTTTGTGCATTTAAAATCCTTGTTTTCAATACAACTTCTTTCAAAACAACCAACAACAAATGTAAAAATGTGCAAAGACTTTGAAAAGACATTTCTACAAAGAAGTGAACAGTTAGCTCATGAGAAAAAGTTCAACATCAAATCAAAACCACAATAAGATAAAACCTCATCCTCATCAGGATAGCTATTTTAAACACCCAGAAAACATCATGAGTTGGTGAGAATATAGAGAAATTGGACCCTGTGTACTGCAAGTAAGAACTTGAAATGATATAACCACTATGGAACAAGGTGCAATAGTTTTTTCCCAAAATTAAACATTATATGTTTAATTTTGGGAATTTCATTTCTATGTATTTACCCCAAAGTATGAACAGTGGGAACTCAAAGAGATATTTATATACCCAACTTCATAGCAGCATCAATCACAATAATCAAAAGGTAGAAACAATCCAAGCATCCCTGGATGAAGCAATAGATGAACAAATACAGCACATGAGCAAAGACTATCATTCAGCTTCGAAAAGGAAGAAAGTCCTGTAACATTCCACAATATGGGTTAATCATAAAGCTATTAAGCTAAGTTAAACAGACCACTCACAAAAAGGCAAATAGTGTATGATTTTAGTTAATTAACACATCTAGTGTTTGTGGAAACAGAATGTAGAATGGTGGTTTTCAGTGGCTGAAGAATGGGGAATGAGGAGTTAGTGATTAATGGGTACAGTGTTTCCATTTAAGAAAAAGAAAATGTTCTAAAGGTGGGTAGTAGTTATGGGGGCACAACAATGTGAAAGTAACTAATGCTACTGAATTATATAATTAAAAATGGCTAAAATGTTCAATTTCATGTTATGTGTATTTTAAAACCATTTTTTTTAAGAAAGCTCTTTTCTTTTCCCATAAGGACTCTCCATCACAAGATACTATGGCTCTCACCTCAGATTTGAAAAAACAATCACAACTGAAAGAGGTGGCAGGGATCCCCCTGCAGAGTACCACTGTAGACAACTGGAGCCAGATCCAGAACTTTGAGGCCAAGCCGGATGATCTTCTCATTTGTACTTACCCTAAAGCAGGTGATTGTGGGGCAGGGAAGCAGCAGAGACCTCACCCTGCTAAGTCAGAAAGGCTATTTCCACATCAGTCTGAATTCCCCAGGATGGAAGACGTGCTCCTTGCTGTTCTAGGAGGGGGCTTAGGCTTGGATGCCTGGCATCCTTGGATTCCCGGAAGGGGCTGCAGCATAGCAGTGCTGGAGGCCCCACCTACTGTGCTCAGCCATGCCCTGCTCTTGGGTGATTGTGAGCTTTTCCTTTGCTGCTCCACTCAGAATAGAGACCCAAAGTCTGTCCCACATGGACGTCCATCTCTCATGGCAAACAGGATCCTGGACCCAGAGGAGTTTGAAGCCAATAACAATCTCCATGTCCCTTCATCCTTTCCCTCAGGAAGCTTCAAGAAGATTATCTAATAGTTTCCTGCTTCTTGTCTTTCTCTTCTGACCCTCAGGGACAACATGGATTCAGGAAATTGTGGACATGATTGAACAGGATGCAGATGTGGAGAAGTGTCAGCGAGCCATCATCCAACACCGCCACCCTTTCATTGAGTGGGCTCGGCCTCCCCAGCCCTCAGGTGAGTCCCTCTGGTGAGCTCCAGAGAGTTCACAGATACACACACACACACACACACACACACAGAGAGAGAGAGAGAGAGAGAGAGAGAGAGAGAGAGAGAGAGAGAGATGCTTCCCAAAGCTGAGCATTACAGAGATCCATGTAATAGAAACTTGGGAACACAAATAAATAGAGCCATGAGAATGAAGCAATGCAACTCTAGCATGGAAATCTGGAATTCTCAGAAAACTGTTGATGGTGGTCTAACAAACCTTTCCAAATGCTTTAAGAAATGAAGTTCCTGGTCTGATTGATATGCAGAAGAGCTTGTAACCTTGTCCAGGTGTATCTCCAAGCCAGGATACCCTTGAGGTCCTTCTGGATCTAAGTTCCTATGTAGGTGACACTGGCTTTGCAATCCAATGCCTGATGTTCTCCATCTCTTAATTATCTGTGGGGTGCTGACCCCCTATACAGGCTAACCTCTGTTTGCCTAACTGGGATTCATTCCATGTGCAATCAAGATCTTCCATTTTTCTTTGTCTCTGATTCTGACTCCACAGTAGGGTAAATCTAGACAACTAGGGTTCAAATTCTGGCTATGTCACTTATCCCATGACTTTTACCAAGTTATTTAACCTGTCTCTACAATTTACTCAGCCACAAAATAACCACAGAATTTAGCACCTACCTCAATTAGTTGTGAGGATTAACTGAGTTAATATATATAAAAAGCTTGAAACAGTGCCTGTCAGGGTGTATCATTGTAAAGTATTATTGCCAGCTACCTCTCCAGGATAAATCACTTGCCCCAGGGTGCCATCTGGTCCTTGGACCAACCAAGCCCAACTTTTGATCTTGTTTCTACATCCTGCCCCAGTCACCATTGTTTAATCTCTGACAATTGGGGAGATTAAAGAGAGAGAAAATCCTGAGCAAGATTTCAAATGAGGTTTCTTGCCAGTGGGGAGCACAATGTCCCATCACTAAGTCAGAAAAAAACAAGACAGAGCCTCCCTCAGGTCATCCCAGCAGCTGTAGAATTTTTAAGAAGCATGGTAACCAATCACCCAGTTTGGCATGTCATATGGAAGCCAAGATGGTTCTTTATGAATCAAGGTGCCCTGAGTCCAAGGAGGAAAAAACAGTCTCAGGTTTTCTTTTCTTCCCAGCCACTGACAGATGAATACTCAGTGGAGACTCATCCATGCAGTGGTTTTATTTCAGGATAGACAATCTTTGCCCATAGAGGTGAGGTGTGCCCCTGAGAGGAGGAGGGTAGCTGATGACATCGACTTATACATGTGAGTCAAGGGTCAAAACCTCTGGAGTGGATGGGCACCACTGGGCAATGAACGAGCTAGTCAGTCTCCTTCCTAAGGTCCCTTCCACCCTCTGACCAAATCCCAGGTACAAAGACATTTCACACCAAAAGCACAGAGTCTAACAGGAATACATTTGGAAAGACTGAGAAAATGTTCATGCATGTGGGTGTGCGAACAACATATAGGTGAAATCTAGGAGTAACCCACTCAGTTCAACACTCACTACAGGCCCTGGACTGCTCATAAGACATCTTGCATTCACTGGCCCTCAATAAGTTATGGTTCCATGGAAGAGAAAAATGCAGACAATATGTATGTCACAATCAGTGGGTGAGTCAGAGGTTAGCATGGAGTGCTATGGGCAGAATGAGGGGAGCATGGCCAAACTGCACTCCTGGAGGGGACCAGAATGATCAGCTGTTACTTTCCTTGTTGACTATTGCCTCTCTCTTCTGCCAGACCACAAGCTCCTTGAAGGCAAGAACTATTTAACTATTAGCTATTTAACTTTGTACTCCCTGGGACTATTTCCACAATGCAGGCTGAACTATTTCTCTCATAAAGACACATGATATATGGCTCAAATCCCAGGGCTAGGACCTCAGTGCAGATGATGAAGGCCAAAAATGACTGACTCCATGTGTC